TTGGGTCAAAATTGTTAATCGATTAGTTGCCAACTCAGCCAACTAACCGATTAATCGATTTTCGATTCATATCACTACTCTGAAATCGTCTCTAAATAAAGAATACATAAATAATACATTCATTTCTATAATAAATGCCTAATAACCATGAAATACGAGTTCCCTTATTTTCATCAAGTTCCTGCATCTTCCCTTATGCCAACCATCGAGTTAAACTCGGCATGATTGATGGAAGCTCTCCCATACGATGGTTACAGTAATGTATATTTTTGACCCATACCAACATCTATACCAATATATTAATACCTTCTGTCTCCTGCTTTATTAAAAAAAGTTTAGCATTTGATTATTATATTTAATCACTTCATAGTAATTAAAAAAAAATTTATTCTCGTGCCGGAGGCACGGGTTTGGGAAGTGTCATTTTCATCTAATTTTTGGAAAGAAGAGTGTTGGACGTTATGTCATGTTTATACGTTCTATATAGTAAACCATACATAGTTCGAAAAAATTTTTTTTTGTTTATTTAATCGATGAGAAATTTTTACTAGTGCTATGAGATAAAAATTGTACTTTTTATATTATACAATTATTTCGGTACTTTATAGTGATTGAGTTTCCGTGTATTACTAAATAAATATCACTTATGTGGGGGATAAACATTATTTACAGGGAATCAGCTGATAAATGACATTTTCCTTATATTCTGGATCTAGTATAATATTTAACCTTAAATAGATAACTAAAAACAATGATAGTGTAGTTTTTAAATAAATATATACCTTTAATTGCATTTGATATTGTTTGTGTATTAATAATTTTGCTTTATGAACATAAAATCGGAATGTTTTGTATAATATTTGGCAATTTTTTGACTATTTTATCTGCTTATAAGAAGTGCATTTTGGTATCATTTGCATCATCTGAACTTTTCGTGTTTTGTTCTCATTCTCCAAGTTTACAATAAACATTCAAAGCAACAAATCGTTTTGTGGATCAAAATTCATGCATTTTTTGAACCAATTCAATATAGCAATCTGGAGCAGAGGCCTGCACGGGACGGGACGAAATTGGAAAATTTTAAAAACTTCACAAAAAATTGCGGGCCTGATATAAACAGTAAAATGCGGGCCGAACTTTTAAAAACATGATAAATTTTATTTTGCGGGCCGTGCAGGCCGGCAAAATTACAAATTTTTTAGGCCCGTGCAGGCGCAATCCATCGCGACTGACTGTATAATTTTTAAGATAGAGTTTAAAATACAATAAAACATTTATTTTTTATAATTATTATTTATTTTTTTTGGATAGGCAAAAATAAGAGGTAAATTCTTACAGTAATTGAATAATATTAATTGCAAGACTTTCATCAAATTCCCTGACATAATGATTCCAAAACCATAAATAGTAAACTTTTTGATTGATAAAACTTCTGGTTCAACATAAAGCACTACACCATAAACGCAAAATCCCGATATTTAAAATCTCGACATGCCATAATATTAACATCACGCGACGTGAAAATTAAAAATTTAAGTCTGACAATGATTGTTAATGTGATTACTAATCTTTAAATATTAATTATCACGTCGGTATTATAGTCTTCGAGATTTTGGTAACAGGAGTAGGGATGGGCAAATTTTTTACATAATATTTATGTATTCTTATGTATTATTATTTAAATTTTTGCTGCAATATGTAATAATGGGAAATTATATCATAATTTATTTAAATTTAATTACCGTTAACGTTAATTAAATTTTCAAAAATTTCAAGAACAGATTTAAACTTCTTAATGATTTTATTCTGTGATCGGTTTCTCTTAAAAATTATGTAATAGTATGTAATAATTTACAAAATATGTAAGGATTAAAAAATACATATCGGTTACATAAAAAATTACATTGCCCATCCCTAAACAGGAGCGACCGTTCAAATTCGTAGATGACTCCTAAACCTATGCGATTTCACGTGATTTCCAACCAATCATATCTCGAGTTTTAGCAAATCGGCCAATCGGATTACAAAAAAAAGTTGTGGGATTCAAGGAATATGTCATAGAGCAAAGCAAAAACATTAATTCATCCGATAAATTAACTTTCGTTTCATATAAATTAAGATACCTGAGCTTTAAAATAAGTATTGTAAAAATTTATTTTCAATTGTGTAACCATGTCGGAATCATCTACGAATTTGAACGGTCGCTCCTGTTGATTTTGGATGTCGGAATTTTGCGGTAGAATCCATAAACACTGCCTTCTGAATTATTTTCATCACATTTTTTAGACACTCCCATATCTGAGATGTAAGATTGCATACCGAATACGTTGCATTCCATTGGAGGATTCCTCCTTGTTCTGTATAACTTTACCGGCTAAACGTAGCTGGAGTATCTTACATTCCACCAAATTTTCAACCCTGCAATGTATCCTGGGCTATACTATCGAGGGGGTACTCCATATCGCGATTTACCTTTAGTAAAGCCTTCACCTGCAAAATATTACCACTATCTGCATGAATGTATACCGCACTAATAAATTATATGAACTATCTTCAAGTAATTTTAATTTAATCTGCCATGTGAGATCTTGAAATTTTTTCTTAAAAATTTATGAAAGCTTCTGTTATCAAATATTGAAATATCATAAAGTGTCCATTTGTTTTTGTCATAAATTAATCCATATACCTTTAAACTATTACCATACAATCTACATTTCAAACTTTATAAAGTTATATAAATGAATTAGTTGAATACGAACCTACTAAACTGTATAATGATTTATTTTTTTTTCAAATAATTAGACAATGCCTTAAGTGCAGCAGTACTAGATAGTTCACGTGCTATTATATATTCGCGTACCATCTAACCAGGTTGCAGAGAATATAGAACTAAATTCTTCTTTGCCAAATTTTTTAATATTACTTAGTCTATCAAATGGAATCTATTCAATTATACGTTCATACACTTTAGTTCAAAGTTGAAATCCTTTTATGCAATAATCGACACCTTGTCAATCCTCGAATTGTTATATCAGAATCATACGTTTGACACCGTGTTCTATTCATCTTATATTCATTACGATGCGCACATTTTCCAAATGTAGATTTTCTTCATTATATTTTTCATACCAATGATTTCACACTACGAATGTGACTTTTAAATAATGCAAACAAAATTTATTTTCACCAACTAATTAACATGAATCCAATGAAATTAAATAGGTTGCTCCATAGTGCTCCGGGCTACTCCAAATTTGAGGACATAATTTTAAATACTCCAACTTGAGTTGGGTTCTACTCCGGAGTAAGCTACTCCATTAACAACCCTAACGTACGTACATGTGACATTCTGATTGATATCATCTTCCCCAGCATCGCCAGAAAAATTTTTACTATCACGTGATATCTGACAAATTTCTTTAATTTTGTTTACGTTAGGGTTAGAGCCTATTTTAGGGTTAGAATAAGGTATTCTAATGGTAAAATTGGTCAAGGAAAATTTTATATTAATGCGCAGATGGTGGTTTCCTATATGAATTTTCGTGTTATAAGCGATTTTTTCTAAGCGAACGTTTGTTTTGAAATTTTCTGATCGCGCAACATTACACTAAATCGTGGTTCATTATTTGTTGATCATCACGTGACAGTAAAAATTACATAGTAATTTTTCTGGCGATCCTGGGGTAGTTCTCAGGGAACAATCAGTCATGTGATTTTTCTTTAATGCTTCTCCGCAATACATAAGAGAAGGGTGAATTGTTATAAGATGCCAGATTTTAGGGATTTGGATTTGGATTATGATTTGTAATAATATACGCTTCTTCGATAACTAATCATTACCCACATAAATAACAGTAGTTATAGATCGGTCATGGTTGCCTACATTGTCATCACAAAAAAAAGAAATGCAATTACATTTATATTTTTATTACAACTATACCACGTTGGCATCTCAGAATAAATGCTTTATTAGGTTTTATCGTTTTTATTATTATTATTATTATTAAGAGGCTGGCTAAATAAATGCATCATCTATTTGAAATAATAAAACCTAATAGACGTAAATTATCATATATAAGACTTTTATCCTTGCTTACTTTCCATTTCTTCAAATGCAATCATTAATTGTGAAGAAACATTTTTTTTTGGTGTCCACCATGGATCATGGATAAAATTTGTTTTGTAATGTGATGATCCATTTACAACCTTGACATTGAAGACTTGATTGAGTGAATTATACCCGTGGTCTAGTTCATAAAGCATGCCATCGACTTCTTCATACATTTCCTGTTGAACATGACACGTTAGATCTTTTGATGCCAAAAAACTAACTCGCACTGCACATTTCCAGTATTCCATAATAATACTTACCATTATGTATTTAAAAATTTTCACCGTTGACTTCAACTTTTTAATGTGAGCCAATTTGGTAGGTATCTCAAATGTTATCCCAGGAAAGACAACATAAAAGTCATTGATTAAGTCTTCTAATAGCATCTGCCCGTAAACGCCAGAAATTTGCAAAAAAGGGATCCTCGTTTTATTCACTTGCTCCTTGGTTAAGTTTAGCCTTAAAATGGCGTTCAATATTGATTGATTTACTCTGGCAGAACGACAGCGATCCCCAATCGCTTTTGCATTCGTACAATGTGCTGAAAATTCCCATTCACCGAGATCTGTCCTCGAAGAACTTAAGAATCGGACGTCGCATTTCCGTCCTTTTTCATAACTCGTAGATCGGCTCATAGGACAGAAAGAATCTCCCCTATGCATAAATTTATGATTTATACATTAGCTAGAATTAAAAAAAAAACCAAAAAAGTGTGCTTAATTACCATTTACAATTTATTCCAAGGCCTTTCCTCAATCCTTTCACGATATAAGAGCATGTCTTTACGATAATGTCTATTTCAGTGTAACCCTCTCCACAATCTAACAAATCATCACCATCTTTTACTTCGAAAAGACTATGAAAGCAGATAAAAGATAAATTAAGACAAGCTACAAAATATTAAATACAAATAAAAAGTAAATACGTACAATTCACTGTATATCTTGCTTATTTTATAAATGCAAGTATTGATTGGCGAGTTGGCATGTCTCTCAAGACAATGTTTGTATGCCTCATTAGGTCCTCCCTTCTGTACCATCTATGTATAACAATGGAAAGCTTTGTAAGTTTAATCAACGATACATAATGAACCGGATCGACCGTTCAAATTCGTAGATGATTCCTATACAATTACACCGATCATATTTCAAGTTTTAGCAAACCGGCCAATCAGATTACAAAAAAAAAAGTTGTAGAATTCACGGGGATTCAAAGAATATGTTATAGAGCGAAGCAAAAAAAATTAATTCATCCGTTAAATTTATTCGCGTTTCACAGAAAATTAAGTTACCCATATCGGAATCATCTACGAATTTGAACGGTCACTCCTGTTTACATAATGCACATTTGCAAATGTACCTTTTCTACATCCGCAATGAACGCGTTCACCTCTTCATCTAATGCAGGAACCGTTAAGGCTGTCACGTGATCTTTGGTCATGTGCTGAATATCAATGTCGGAAAACCAATCTCGCATATGCGCCGAGAGATCTATGATCTTTGACATGCCGTATCTCAAGGTGGCTCTCTCCACTGGACTTAAAATTTCCTTTTTTTTTAATACTTCTGCACATTGAGATACATTTACAAAGTAAATTTCATTGACGGATTTTCCTGAGGGTAAATCCCATTTTTGTGTATTAGTTGGCACAGAGCTTATAAAACTGTCAAAATCAGGGGGTTCGTCGTCATCATCATCATCAAATGTCATTCGTGAGGAAGGAAAGCTCACTTCATCACTGTCACTTGCTGAAATAAAATTCGGTTGTGGTGGTGGCTTTGATAGCACCGTACCATCAGGAAGGATGCTTCCAACTTGTGAAGAAACCGTCACTTTATCACTATTACTTTGTGGAATGAAATCCGATTGTAGTGGAGTGAAATCCGATTGTAATGGAATTGGTAGCACTATACCATCAGGACCGCTTGGCGGAGTGAAATTCGATTGTGGTGGAGTTGGTAGTGCCGTACCATCAGGAAGGATGCGATTCTTCTATAATAAGTATGTTATTAATTATAACAATAAGTATTTTTACTATAATGATTATTATTGGCTTACCTTTGAGTGAAGTTTGCTTTCAGGTGGTCTTGCATACTTGACAATTATATAGGAAAACGAATGATTTGATAAGTAAAATGAAAAACACTGCTAAAATCAAATTATATTTTACCTTATTTGGGGGGTTGACTCCGCTTTTGGATAGGTTCGCTTGCTTCCAATTACTAGCGCATTGTTCTTCTGACTCAAAACAAAATTCAGCTTCATCTCATTCAAAACGGAATTGGCCTTATTTCCTGTAAGAGATTGGTCGACAGCAAACTGAATCTACAAACCGTGAATAAAAAATAAAATTAATAAGAACGTTTGACAAATTAAAATAATCGATTACAGGACACACCTCAGCTTGCTTTAATTTCATTGTGTCTACCTCCAATTTGACATTATTCCAGAACACTAACACACCATCCCCTTGTGCTTGTTGCTATAGAAGTAACAAGAGAATTATTAGTAAAAGGGCTACACCAAATATTGAAGATAAAGTAGATAGTCAGGGACTACGAATGAACATAATAGCTCTTGGCACTGTGACATAAAAGCCTCTAGCCTTCACGCAGATTTAAGATGGAGCCCACCGGATATAATAACCCATTCCCAGTCCGACACGTAGCCAGACTGCTTAGGTGGTTGTTTTTGATATGATAACCCAACTCCTCTCTATCATTTGCATCTAAAATTAAATTTAAATCAAATATACTCGCCTTTAGCAATCCATCGTTGAGAATGGAAGCGGCCTTCTTCCACTTTTCGTTCGTTGTATTATTTTCGATATACGAAATAAACTTTGATATCGTTAAGTGTTCGGTGTGCTTATCGAAAGAGAAGTCGGGTTTGGTTTTACGAAAATTCAGAATAGAAAGGAGACAGAGAGTATCAGGATCCAAAGCCGTCTCCCAACCTTCAAACTATAATTATGGTTTCACATTTTTTTTAAGGTGGTGAAATTCGTAAACGAAATGTTAAACTTCATACTATCCACTAAATGTTCACCTTTTTCATTTCGACAGTAGACATTTGTGACTATTGCGTTTTATATCTAAAATCAGCGATAAAATGTCGTAACTAAGTTTTGCGTTTTATTTGGAAATGTATCTAAAATCAGCGATAAAATGTCGTAACTAAGTTTTGCGTTTTATTTTGAAAATCAGCGATAAAATGTCGTAAGTTTTGCGTTTTATTTGGAAATGTATCTAAAATCAGCGATAAAATGTCGTAACTAAGTTTTGCGTTTTATTTGGAAAATCAGCGATAAAATGTCGTAAGTTTTGCGTTTTATTTGGAAATGTATCTAAAAAATCAGCGATAAAATATCGTAACTAAGTTTAATACTAGCGTTATTATAACAATACGTAATAATTACAGCATCATTTCTACTTTATTAGACTTTGCGTGTAGTTACTACATTTTTTATGCATACAAAATGATCATCAGAGTTACTTTCGCACATACTATAGTAATTTTCCGGCCTGCCTTGATTCATCAAAATTAGTGTATGGTTCTAATATAATGTAGATCAAGAATGACACTTTTGAATGGCCGGCCAAGATAACATAGCGGGATAGAGTGGAATATTAAATTATATGTTCTATATATTAGTGGCATGAGGAGCCCTTATGGCCATGCCCAATTTTTTACCCGCGCCCTGAACCCTCATTTCCTGTATTTTTCAGTTTATAAAAATTTACGATTTTGATTGGTTAATCGATGTAAATCTTCCAAATAAGGAAATCGAAAAAATGGGTCTCGCGTTTTTATCGCGTTTTTTTTTTTTCACACGAAATCATGGTTGCACAGATTGATGACCCATTTTTCGATTTCCTTATTTGGAAGATCTACAAAATCACAATCGTAAATTTTTATAAACGAAAAAAAACTGAAAAATACAAGAAATGAGTGTCTGAACTAGTGCTTCTAAAGAGTCATTCGGGTCGGGTTTGGGGTTGAACCCGAATTTGTTCAAACAAACTCGGGTTTGTATAACGCTAATAGAAAGACTACATTTCAATATTATTGTTTGTAATTCAAACTAATTATATTAATTACATCATTTATTATTAATTTAACTAATCATACGATATTTAACTATTATTGATTTTGACATACTTTTCATGCACATTATACTTTCACTATTGATTTAATCACTTGGGGTCATGTGATAAATTTTCGGGTTTTATGTTCTGGGGTCGATTACAAAGCCCCTAGCTGTCCCACAAAATTTTTTCCACCTCTTGTAATATCGACCAATCAAATTGTTTAATACCCCTGTAAATTAAATTGTGTAACATTCACCATAACCGTTACTTTAACGTTCACTTGAATGTTAATATGAACGTTCACTTAAACGTTAATATTAACGTTCACTTGAACATTAATATGAACGTTCACTTGAATGTTAATATGAACGTTCACTTTAACAATATGAACGTTTACCTTTAACGTTAATATGAACGTTAATATATGAACGTTCACTTGAACGTTAATATATGAATGTTCACTTGAACGTTAATATGAACGTTCGCTTGAACGTTAATATATGAACGTTCACTTGAACGTTAATATAAACGTTCGCTTGAACATTAATATGAACGTTAAAATAAACGTTAAGACAAACGTTAAGTGAACGTTAAAGCGAGCATTATATTTAGTCACAACACTTAAAGTAAACTTATTCAATAAACACAGCGAACAATGCATTTATTTATTTATTAAAAAAAAAATTTTTATATACGAATTTATTCAATAAACAACATAACGAAAGAACGACAAAATACACCCAAAAGAACAACAAAATCACCAAAAAATGACGCAAGAAACAATAAAAAAAACACCGTAAAAGTCACCAAAAAACGACGTAAAAAGAACAACGAGAAAAGCACCAAAGAGATGACGTAAAAAGAACGACGAGAGAAGCACCAAAGAGATGACGTAAAAATACAAAAAAAAAAGATGTAAAAAGCATCAAAAGAATAATAAAGAAAGCACTAGAAGAATGACATAAAAAAAAAAACCAAAAAAACGACGTAAAAAGTATTGAAAAACATGTAGAAAGCACAAGAAAAAACATAAAACATACCGAAAGAACGACGTATAAAGCACCAAAAGAACAGTGTAAAAAACAGTGAAAGAGCGATGTAAAGAGCACCAAAAGAACGATGTAAAAGTCACCAAAAGAACGACGTAAAAGGTACTGAAAGATTGACGTAGAAAAAGTGACGAAAAAAGAAAATTAAAAAAAAATTATTACTATTAGTTGATCGCGTTTATAAAAATAAAAAAAAATGCAGGGGTTAAAATGCAAGGAGTGGAAATTTTTTTGTGGGATAGCTACCTAAAATGGTCGATTACCCAGGTTTACTGACCCTTTTCGGAGCACTAGTCTGAATGCATCTTGAATCTTGAATAGAGATATTATTCTTCTTGCCCGAACTCTGTTTGGGATAAACTTGAGTTTCGGCGATCATGTGATTTTATTATGCTATTTAAATTTCGTATGCTCAATCGAGTTTGAAATCATGAAAATTGGTTTTTTTTTTTTAATATGAATAAGCAATTTTTTTTTATTTTATACATATAGTAGTAACCTGTCACTGATTACGGATATGCTAGTAAAAATAGCGTGACATCAAAAAGTATAGATCAAATTAGCCTACTTGATGACTTACGGATCAATTCACGGGTTGACCCACAGAATACCCACCCAGGTTACTAAAACTTTAGACTTTAGGTTTATATTACAGTCTTGGATATTACCAAATTTGGATGATGTAGATCATACCCTTTGTTGTACAATTAGAAAATTCTTGATACTTCCATTTAAGTAGCATAGGGAAAACTTGTATCCGATAAATTCTAAATATGTTTTACACAAACTATTTATATAGGCAATTGAAAATCTGATATATGATTGTAGTCTAAAAACCGGCAATTTCATGATCCATTTACCCATAATAAGTTAAACTTAAGGTATTTATGTTGATTAGTATAATTTTTTCATTTTGGGTGTCTCTAGCAGAAGATCTTTTCTAATCATTAAAATAAAGATAAACGTTTGGTAATTGGCAGAGTTTATTGAGTTTCTACTATGTTTAAATTATTAAGCCGAATCTTAAATTTATAAAATATTAAAGTGTGAAGGTTATACTAATATAAGATTTTATATATTTATTAAATAGATCAAGCAATATAAAGCTTTTAACAAGGCTTATTTTGATATTTATTCAAACAAAGAGCATATATATGTAAACAGATATGAAAACTAAGATCTCTATTGTATAGTAAAAATGGTAATGTAGTCTAATTAATAGTATAGTTCAAGGGTGATAATATATAACAACATGTTTTTGGTAAAGTATAATAGTTAAAAGATGGGTTAGAATTACTTTAGCTTTAAAAAAAGCTTCACTTTTGTTATTAATAAATTTATTTTGCTTCATTTTGTATATTAAAAAAATTTTAATTTGATTTTAATTGGTCAATAGTCACCCATAAATCTACATAAATTAGCTAATCACATAAATATTATAATCTATGATTTTCTATCAAAATATGAGTTTTCTTTATGCTTATTTAAATCTATATCTATTTTATACTAATCTATTGGGTTAAAATTATGCCAATCATTATTTGTTTTCTTATTTGATAAACAACTACTTAATAAAGCTTCTGGAATTGCAAAAGATCTTTAGACTATATATATATAAGACTATTTTATCAGAATTAATTCAAATATTTATTATTAATTATCTTATAATCCTAGTATATTTTACTATATTGTAGATCAATTTTCATATTTTGGAAAAGGCTAAAACCAGATATATTTATATATTTTTTAATATTTAATTAAAATTAGAGTAAGAGATGGCTAGAAGTTAAGGTTAGAACAAAGCTTATAAGTAAAATTGTCTTTTTAATATTTTTTATTAGTATTTCAAGATAGGTTTAAATACTTGATTTCTTTATTGTTTGTGTTTTTTAATTTTTTTTTTGTATTTGTCTTATTAAACAGATTTAAGTAAATTAAAATTTATTATTTGATTTGTTGTTAGTTATATAAATATATTTGGCTTTAAATAACTTCTATATTTAGTAAAATTCAAAACTGTATTAAAATAGATACAAGAATTGATAGTGTCTATATAAACTAGTAGATGTCTAGAAACTTTCACCTTAAACTCAAACCAGATCATCTAACCTATCTGCAAATAACTTAATTAATATTCACTTGAGTCTAATTATTAGTTTAGATTAAAGATAATATATTTGTTTTTTTTTTTAATATTAAGGTGAGGTCATACCTCTTGTATCTTTTATTAATTCTTAAGTTTATATACTACTATACAACCTTGTTGCTCACTCATATACCTACTAACTGAACTAATTTTCGAATATGGGGCTTAGACTACTTTATCTGTGACCTAAACCTATCAGAGTATTTCATATCTCACCTTTGTATTACCTAGTTTTTGTGCTTCACAACTAACTAATTTTAGTTACACAACCATATTCCCCCATGACCCACAATCAAACCTTAGTGACTTTCAATTTGGTTCATTTAGGTAATCGGTCTCTAAAGGCCTCCCAGATTGGTGTGCCTGCTGAGAGCCTCTTATACACGTATCTCAAGTCAGATCTCTGCTGCCTAGTTAGGTTTATCATATAGGCTGAGTGCTACAGAAAAGAGAGAAATCAACAAAAAAAAAGATCTTCGGAAAATCAATTTTTATGTTATAAATTTTATAATAAATCATAAGAAATTGCA